CACCACTGCCCCCTGCAACCCCCCCCACAGAGCTCCCCCTCCCCGTCACCACTGCCCCCTGCAACCCCCGCCCACAGAGCTCCCCCTCCCCGTCACCACTGCCCCCTGCAACCCCCCCTCGCAGGGCCCCTCCCCCACCACAGAGCTCCCCCTCCCCGTCACCACTGCCCCCTGCAACTCCCCCACAGGCCACTCCCCCACCACAGAGCTTCCCCTCCCCCATCACCACAGCCCCCTGCAACCCCCACCACCAGGAACCAGCCTCCCCCCAACCCACAACACCAAGTGCCCCCTCCCCTGCCCCCACCTCCTACAAACAGCCCGGGCTCCCCCTGTACCTGACACCTCACAGAGCACACCCCCCCCAGGGACCCCACCCCCGGGCCCCAGTCAGCAGGGAGGCTGCAGCTCCGCTGGGCCCTCGGCAGCCCCCTGCCCCCCACCCCTCTGCCACTGGGAGGGCCCAGCACCTCGGCATCCTGCACCCCCCCCTTGGGCAGAGCCACTAGGGGGCGCTGCTCGAACCTCAACCCTCTGCTAATGGGGCACAACAACCCCCCCCCCACAGGCTACAGAGCCCCTCCCCCAGGGGAAACTGGGACAAGTCCCCCTCGCACCAGGGGAGCCCATCTGTACTGGGCGGGGGTCGGCAGTGCAGCGGGGTGGGGGGGGGACAGACAATGAGGGGTCTGCTTTGGGGCAGCCCATCTCCTCTGGAGGGGGGAAAACACCGGGGGGGGGGGCGGCGGTCTCCACTGGGGGTGGGGGCGGAACGACTCCTGGGCCTCCCTGCCCCCGTCTCCGATCGCAGGCTGGGGGGCTGCCCCACATGAGCCTTGCTGGCTGCTGCTGACTCCAGACACCCCCCCTCCTCCCCCTGCCTTTGATGCTGCCAGACAGTGACTCATCCCAGAAAGGGGGGGTCCGGCGCAGAGCCGGGGGAGGGGAGGGGGGCGCCCGGAGCCGGCAGCTCACAGGGAGAGTGGCCTCCGCTCCCCCCAGTGCCAGCTCAGCCCCCTTCCTCCCCTCACCCCCTGACCCCGAGGGCTCCGGGGCATGCGAGCGAGAGCCCAGGCCCCCGCGGTGCCCAGCTGCGCCATGGAGCCCCCCTGCACTCCACACCCCTGCCGCCCCTCCCTGGCGTCCTGCCTGTGGGCAGCCTTCCCCCCAACTTACCCTGAACTCCCCTGTCCAGACCTCCCCAGCAGGGTCTCCTGGTTTGGGGGGCATGGGTGGGGGGGCTGGGCACCCGGACTCCTGGGTTCTATCCCCAGCTCTGGGTGGGGAGTGGGGTCTAGTGGGTAGAGCAGGGGGGCTGGGCACCCGGACTCCTGGGTTCTATCCCCAGCTCTGGGTGGGGAGTGGGGTCTAGTGGGTAGAGCAGGGGGGGCTGGGCACCCGGACTCCTGGGTTCTATCCCCAGCTCTGGGTGGGGAGTGGGGTCTAGTGGGTAGAGCAGGGGGGCTGGGCACCCGGACTCCTGGGTTCTCTGCCCTCCCGCTGCGGGGAGCCCTGTTACCTGCAGCCGCCCGTCCAGGGTGCGCTGGATGGTGACGCACTTGCTGGGGTGGGCGCCGTTGGTGGTGATGGCCGTGATGAGCGAGTCCAGCTCGTCCTTCTTCTCCTTCAGCTTCTTCACCAGGCTCTCGATCGCCCGCTTGGCGAAGGTCTCGTTCTCCCCGCCCTGCCGGTGGCACATGAGGCTGTGGACGATGCTCAGGCAGGCGTCGTTGCTGGTGGGGGGGTTCAGGGACATGGTGCTGCTTGGCCTGCAGAGACAGCGCAGCAGGGCAGGCGTCACCCCCAGGGGAGAGGGGCCTAGTGGTTAGAGCAGGGGGGGCTGGGAGCCAGGACTCCTGGGTTCTATCCCCAGCTCTGGGACGGGAGAGGGGGCTGGTGGATTAGAG